TCTCTCCTTGTGCAGGGTGACTGGTCTTGTCTCCGCCCCCTCCTGTAATAAAGACCGCTCACTGCCGCTCTCTCTGCTTGTGCAGGGTGACTGGTCTTGTCTCCGCCCCCTCCTGTAATATAGACCCCTCACTGCCGCTCTCTCTGCTTGTGCAGGGTGACTGGTCTTGTCTCCGCCCCCCTCCTGTAATGCAAAAAAAGGTAATAAAGAAGCAGAACTTTCTTCCTCATTTTGTGGTGAGCGGAGGTCAGAGGTCACATGACAGTCATTTTCATTTCTTTTAAGGAAAATCCTGTTGTGGGTGGAGTCTGTCGTCGTGGCTGCCATGCTCGTCCCCTGGCTTCAGTACTGAGACTCTGAGCCGAGTTCTTGGCTGCACATTGGTTCCAGTCCAGGATCTGAAGAAGGGGGGCGGGGCCTGACATTCCCAGCACATTGTCACGTGACTGATGACAGAGGGGGCGGGGCCTGACGTTCCCAGCACATTGTCACGTGACTGATGACAGAGGGGGCGGGGCCTGACGTTCCCGACACATTGTCACGTGACTGATGACAGAGGGGGCGGGGCCTGACGTTCCCGACACATTGTCACGTGACTGATGACAGAGGGGTCAGGGCCTGACGTTCCCGACACATTGTCACGTGACTGATGACAGAGGGGGCGGGGCCTGACATTTTGACCTCTTTGGGGGTTACAGATGTAGCGGGGAGCCGCGTCCGGCGTCTTGTGCTGCGTTTTTGTGGCATTGTTCTGAGTGCAGCTGGAAGATTGTCGCGCAACTTCCCTCCACTTCCTGTCTGATAGCCACAACAGGAAGTGAGAGGAAATCTCTGGTGGTCACCAGCACTAGTGTCCCCATTAGGAGATTTCTCGCCTCTTCCTCTTTTGGTGACAACACAAAATGTTGGATTTTTCTTTTGTCATCGAAGTTCTCGGAGGTGAGATCCGGGGTCAGCGACCTCTCCTGCATCGTGCGTCCGCGTGTCAGCGCCAGACGTCCAGCGCGCCGCGGAAAAATGACACAGACATATAGTTGTTTGTTGTCACAGTGTCATCCCCGTCCTTGTCTTCCCGTGTCATCCCCGTCCCTCTCTGAGCGCACGCAGTGTATATACACCTGATGATCTGCGGGATTCAGATTCCTCTCTCTGCCGTCACTTTGTCTTTGTTTACAATGAACAGTCGTCGTCTGCGTCCAGCGGTTGGAGGTAAACGCAGCGAAACGCGTTCTGTGCTGAGTTCTCATTGGCTGCTGCACTGGACGAAGGGCGGAGCGCGTCGTCTTCTCTGGCCGATCTCTGTACTCCGGTGTCGGTGAGCAGGGACGACGATGACGGCCGCTGATCTCAGGACTCCACATTGTGTCACATGTGTCAGGAAGTCAGATCAGCTGACAGGAAGTGGCCGGTCTCTCCTCTACACCGGTGTCACAACCAACCGCAAACCAAAATCCAAACTTCACATAGAAAGGGGCGGGGACACCAACACAGGGACCGCTACATTGTCAGATATTTATATTGTTAATAAAGTTTTCAGAGATCAATCACTTCAATCTGGACATGTGATCACCGACCTCCTCCAATAACCGACCTCCTCACATCACAGACCTCTGCCAGCCACCGACCTCCTCCAATAACCGACCTCCGCCAATCACCGACCTCCGCCAATCACCGACCTCCGCCAGCCACCGACCTCCTCCAATAACCGACCTCCGCCAATCACCGACCTCCTCCAATCACCGACATCTGCCAGCCACCGACCTCCGCCAATCACCGACCTCCGCCAATCACCGACCTCCGCCAGCCACCGACCTCCGCCAATCACCGACCTCCGTCGGAGGCCAGAAGACTTTTATAACAGAAGAATCCATCTTCACCTTATTTCCTCCTCTGTTCTACCTGCTGGTCTCCAGCAGCCTCTTTGTAGCCACTTCCTGTCTACATGACTCCGGTGATGGCTGCATGACATTTCCCAGGGCGGGTTTCCTGATGGTGACAACAGTGGACCGTGTCTGTGTAATGTGTGGTCTCCATTGGAAGACAGCACAGGAGATCAGTCAGAGGACAGATCGTTGTCACCCTATAACAGGAAGTGCCTGAACAAGGAGAGAGTGTTGTCACCCTATAACAGGAAGTGCCTGAACAAGGACAGAGCGTTGTCACCCTATAACAGGAAGTGCCTGAACAAGGACAGAGCGTTGTCACCCTATAACAGGAAGTGCCTGAACAAGGACAGACTGTTGTCACCCTGTAACAGGAACCCACTTCCTGTCCTAGAATGACAACGCTCAATCACTGCACTGTATCTATGGAGGAGCAACTTACAAGACAGGAAGATCATAGGAGCTACAAAACCCCTCCCCCTCTCCTGATCACCATAACATGGGGGGTGTTCTGTAGTCCACAGAGATATCTGAGAACAGAGCAGCGCCAGACAAAGAGCACAGGAAGTGATCTGGATTTCTGGCGGGATCACATGACTTCCTGTGGGATATGTAACACGTCGCAATGTTTCCTCCCTCTGCATAGTAACATTCTGGTGGGTGGGGGTGTGTAAAGGGTTAAGTCTGACGTCCTCCATGCGGATGATTCAGCTTTGTGTATAGAAAACACGTTTGTTGTGGTGACACGGAGCGTCCTCGGGGACAAGGTGGCTTCAGTCCGGACTGGAAATCCCCGGCCGCTGTCTGCTGTAGCCCCGCCCCCCCCCAGGACAAGGTGGAGCCGACTCCTCCAGGTGACTCCAAGCCGGGGGTGTTCTGGATGAAGAGGACCTGTCATCAGGTGACTTCCTGTCCGGACCTTGAGGATTTGTAGTTTCCCCTCTGCTGGTTATCTGTGGGAGGAGCTCAGTGACTGCGGAGATCAGAGCAATCGTCTGCAGAGGACTGCGGCCTCTTCTCACATGGTTCCGTGCTGTGCAACCCCGAGAATGATGGAGGGTGGAGCTAGAGCTATAGAGGGTGGGGTTAGGACTATAGAGGGTGGAGCTAGAGCTATAGAGGGTGGAGCTAGAGCTATAGAGGGTGGAGCTAGAGCTATAGAGGGTGGAGCTAGAGCTATAGAGGGTGGAGCTAGAGCTATAGAGGGTGGAGCTAGAGCTATAGAGGGTGGAGCTAGAGCTATAGAGGGTGGAGCTAGAGCTATAGAGGGTGGAGCTAGAGCTATAGAGGGTGGAGCTAGAGCTATAGAGGGTGGAGCTAGAGCTATAGAGGGTGGAGCTAGAGCTATAGAGGGTGGAGCTAGAGCTATAGAGGGTGGAGCTAGAGCTATAGAGGGTGGAGCTAGAGCTATAGAGGGTGGAGCTAGAGCTATAGAGGGTGGAGCTAGAGCTATAGAGGGTGGAGCTAGAGCTATAGAGGGTGGAGCTAGAGCTATAGAGGGTGGAGCTAGAGCTATAGAGGGTGGAGCTAGAGCTATAGAGGGTGGAGCTAGAGCTATAGAGGGTGGAGCTAGAGCTATAGAGGGTGGAGCTAGAGCTATAGAGGGTGGAGCTAGAGCTATAGAGGGTGGAGCTAGAGCTATAGAGGGTGGAGCTAGAGCTATAGAGGGTGGAGCTAGAGCTATAGAGGGTGGAGCTAGAGCTATAGAGGGTGGGGTTAGTATTACAGAAGGTGGAGCTAGAGCTATAGAGGGCGGGGCTAGAGCGTCTTGGATGAGATCCTAGGGCTCCAAACATAATACAAATCACACTTCCATGTGTATCAGATTCCTCAAATCTCTCCTCATGTGACCCTTCCATAGTCCTCGTATTGTATAACATGTTTCAGGCACTGGGAGGTGGAGGAAGAAGGTGCTGGGGCAGCTTGCCTAGACTGATGTGCGGGGGAGGGGTGGGGGTGACACGGGAAGCATGAAAGCTGCATTGTGACTCGCGGTGTCACCCTCCGCACAGCTGTGACATTTCTTCTGTTTTCTCTTCTGCAGATTCCAGAAACACGTCCACACGTATCGCATCCTCCCGGACGAGGAGGACTACCTGACTCTGACCCTCTGCTGTAGTATGTCTCTGTTGACACTCACGGATGAGGTCGTCATACATGTAGTTTCTCTCTTTCACATGCACCGCCATGACTCTAACGCTCTCATGTCTTCTCTCAGACCTCTCAGGGGGTTCAGGTTCGGAGGTTCAAGACGTTGGGGGACCTGATTGCACTCTACCTGCAGCCCAACCAGGGGATGGTGTGCACTCTGCTGTACCCGGTGGAGCGGGAGAAGGACAGGGCACCAGACCAAGCCAGGGCACCAGGCCAAGCCAGGGCACCAGACCAAACCAGACCAAGCCAGGGCACCAGACCAAACCAGACCAAGCCAGGGCACCAGACCAAGCCAGGGCACCAGACCAAGCCAGGGCACCAGGCCAAACCAGACCAAGCCAGGGCACCAGGCCAAGCCCAGCATCCAATGCCTGAAACTCACCTAGTGGTCTCTGGAAGCTCCATAAAAGTATCGGATTCACTTCTCCTTCTATAGGACATAAATCAGCTTTATTCATGGAAAGCCGTCTTCCCGATCTCACCGTATAGAGGACCTCAGACATTGCAGAACAATATCCCCAACAGACCAATCCCGGCCTCAGGCTGCAACCCATCACCGATGTACCATAGAGTCCCCGACCTCTGCGCGACACTCTCTGCAGTACATCACTGATCCAGACAAGACCGGCTTTACTGATCCAGACAAGCACGCAAGAGTCCCTGTTCCCTTGGATTTCCCTATGGACCTCTTCATGGGACCTTCTCCAAGGACCTCCTCCTGAGACCTTCCCCACAGACCTTTCCCACAGACCTCCCTCTGTGACCTTCCCCACAGACCTCCCCCTAGGACCTTCCCCACGGACCTCCTCCTGAGACCTTCCCCACAGACCTCCCTCTGTGACCTTTCCCACAGACCTCCCTCTGTGACCTTCCCCAAGGTCCTGCTCCTGAGACCTTCTCCACAGACCTCCTCCTGAGACCTTCCCCACAGACCTCCCCCTAGGACCTTCCCCACAGACCTTTCCCACAGACCTCCCTCTGTGACCTTCCCCACGGACCTCCTCCTGAGACCTTCTCCACAGACCTCCTCCTGAGACCTTTCCCACAGACCTCCCTCTGTGACCTTCCCCACGGACCTCCTCCTGAGACCTCCCCCACAGACCTCCCCCTAGGACCTTCCCCACGCACCTCCTCCTGAGACCTTCCCCACAGACCTCCTGAGACCTCCTCCACGGACCTTTCCCACAGACCTCCTCTGTGACCTTCCCCACGGACCTCCCCCTAGGACCTTCCCCACAGACCTCCCACAAGGACCTTCCCCACAGACCTTATCCTGAGACCTTCCCTGCAGACCTCCCCCTAGGACCTTCCCCACGGACCTCCTCCTGAGACCTTCCCCACACACCTCCTGAGACCTTCCCCACAGACCTCCCTCTGTGACCTTTCCCACAGACCTCCCCCTAGGACCTTCCCCACGGACCTCCTCCTGAGACCTTCCCCACAGACCTCCCCCTAGGACCTTCCACACGGACCTCCTCCTGAGACCTTCCCCACAGACCTTTCCCACAGACCTCCCTCTGTGACCTTCCCCACAGACCTCCCCCTAGGACCTTTCCCACAGACCTCCCTCTGTGACCTTCACCACGGTCCTCCTCCTGAGACCTTCTCCACAGACCTCCTCCTGAGACCTTCCCCACAGACCTCCCCCTAGGGCCTTCCCCACAGACCTTCCCCACAGACCTCCCTCTGTGACCTTCCCCACGGACCTCCTCCTGAGACCTTCTCCACAGACCTCCTCCTGAGACCTTTCCCACAGACCTCCCTCTGTGACCTTCCCCACGGACCTCCTCCTGAGACCTCCCCCACAGACCTCCCCCTAGGACCTTCCCCACGGACCTCCTCCTGAGACCTTCCCCACAGACCTCCTGAGACCTCCTCCACGGACCTTTCCCACAGACCTCCCTCTGTGACCTTCCCCACGGACCTCCCCCTAGGACCTTCCCCACAGACCTCCCCCTAGGACCTTCCCCACAGACCTCCCTCTGTGACCTTCCCTACAGACCTTATCCTGAGACCTTCCCTGCAGACCTCCCCCTAGGACCTCCCCCTAGGACCTTCCCCACGGACCTCCTCCTGAGACCTTCCCCACAGACCTCCTGAGACCTCCTCCACGGACCTTCCCCACGGACCTCCCCCTAGGACCTTCCCCACGGACCTCCCCCTAGGACCTTCCCCACAGACCTCCCCCTAGGACCTTCCCCACAGACCTCCC